GTATATAGACAGGTCCCAGCCAAGGATAAACTGCCATTTTTTCCGGTCAAGGTTTTCTCAGCGGTTTCATCATCCTGACCCCATACTATTTGAAATAAGCTTGGGGGCCACCCAAATTTTAGCCTCAACTCCAAGATGGCCGCCAAAATTCAAAATGGCCGCCAAAATTACTATAATATAGAGATATACAACATATTTATTCGGTGTTGTCAATTTTTTCAAAGTGGAATTGTCAACTCAGACCTAAGCCTTCCAAGATCTATTAATGGCCACCAAGAATGTTGCCTCAAATCCAAGATGGCCACCTAAATCCAAAATATATTTGATTTGAGGCCAATTTTTGGGTGGCCCTCGATTGATTTTTTAAGGTTTATGTACCAGGTGACAAATCAACTGAAAAAACATTGACATAACCGAATAATATGCTACATTTTTCTAATAATTGTGATATTTGGCAGCCATTTTGAATTTTATCGGCCATCTTAGATTTGAGGCAAAATTTTTGGTTGTCCTTGATTGATCTTGAAAGGCTTATGTCTGAGGTGACAATTCCACTTCAAAAAAGTTGAAAACACCGAATAAATATGTTGTATAACTCTAATAGTAATTTTGGCGGCCATTTTGAATATTGGTGGCCATCTTGGATTTGAGGCAAAAATTTGGGTGGCTCCCAAGCTTATTTCAAATAGTATGGGGTCAGGATGATAAAACCGCTGAGAAAACCTTGACCGGAAAAAATGGCAGTTTATCCTTGGCTGGGACCTGTCTATAATTATTACAGGACAGTATTATAATTTTTTCTTTACATTCTAATTGCAAAACTTTATTATGTAATTGTGTTAATCATTTAAAATAAGACGCCTTATTTAGTGAATAAACCGTAATCAAGTTAAGTACTAAAATTACTATGATTTTTACCCTCACGCCTCCAAGGGAGGAGGCGAAGGTACAGCAATTAACCTTGTAGCCTTCGCGCCTACAATGGAGAAGGCAAGGGTATTCCAATAGCGTGCGCTTGTCTGTGTGTGCGTGTGTGTGTGTGTGTGTGTATGCCTGTCTGTCTGTCGTGTATTTCACCTTCCGGGCGCATAACCCATAACACATTGACCATATTACATGTATCGACCGAGTGCCAAATTCAGGCCTGCAGACTTGATTGATGGCTTGCCACCTGAGACCTATAATGCTAGACCTTGTTTGGCCGATGGATTGAAGAAGATGCAGATTTTAGAATGTTTTAAGTATTTTCTGGCCGTATATGTCACAATCTGATGTCCCAATTTTATTTTTTTAAATGATAATAATTGTGAATAATAATAATGATATGAAAAAAGTATTCAATAAATGCACAAATAATAAAAAGTTTATTATTTAAAAAGATGTAATGCTCACATTAAAAAAATAATTTGCAAGCTTTAGTATGAAAATATAGAAAGTTCACAAAGTGTCTGAAAAGCACTTATAAGTTTATAAAATTGCCCATAGAGTATTGTGGTTAGGCCTAGTTAAGGGGATGTTGTAAATACATGTTTTAATACAGACTTGGGTCATCATTTCTTATAGACAATTGGCTGGCTCTACAGGACACATGAGTGTTGGACAAAGATACTACTGATGACATTTTCAGAAAATTGTATTGTAGTATAATTAGACCGCAATGGAGCACAAAGAAACTCTACAAGACTGTCAGATTTTGGGACGAAAACACGAGAAGTCTATAATACTCGAGCAGGTTTGTGAGAGGAGAATTGGCATCATCCAGATAAGTGGACCACCTATAATTGGAAAGAGAACGTTAGCAAGATTTGTGGCTGCTTCACTGCCTGGCACAACCTACATTATCAGTTTGAGTGATCAGAGCAATATGCAGTCAACAAAAGATTTCATCAAAGATGTCCTTTTGAAAGCAATAGAACTAGATAAACGTCACAAGCTAGACACAAATACTATCAAAGAATTACTTGGACATGTAAATAATAAGTTTGTCTTTGTTTTTGAGAATGCCGAGTATTTCTGCGGGGATTATACCTCAGGTGACGTACAGACTGAATTTCTTGAGACGTGTAAACTACTTGCAGGATCAAGAAACATCATGGTTATTATCACTTCTACATTCCGGTTCCGTTTTTACAAGTGCCAGTTTTTAAAACTGGAATTGCAACAACTTTCTGAAAAAGCTTGTAAAAGTATTATCTTAAAGTCTCTAAATGGAATGTCTCGCGATTCCTTAGAGGAAGTTGTTGGGATGTGTGCTGGCATTCCTGGACTTCTTAATTCTTTCTTAAGTACTTACAGTTATAGGACCAATTTGCCAAGGCATGTGACAACACATGATGAAGAATCTCAATGCCGTGTAATGTCAGTTGTTGAAAACCTATCACATTCCAACAAGAGTCACTTAGCAACATTAGCATATTTTCCTGGAAGATTTGGCACCAAAGCTGCAAGGCACTTGCTTGGGGAAAGTAGCGATGCTCGTGTTAAACAGATTGCCATTTTGCCAATTTATAGACGATCACTCATTGAAATTGACGGAGAGCAAGACCGGTTCTACTTTCATTGTTTCATACAAACATGTGTTAACAAACACTTAGCTCATTTACGAGATACTTCTATGACCCGAGAACGTTTCTGTGAATTCTTTGCTGATATTGTCCGTAGTCTAACACCGGAGGTGGATAAAAACCCGGAAAAGATCTTTCCACTTTTTGCTCAAGAAATACAGAACATCGACAAGCTATTGATTGAAGCAGCAAACTGTTCTGACAAAACCCGGTACAAAAGGTACATCCAGCTTGCGTGTGAAGCTGACTACCTGTTGATTAATGTTTTACCGAAGCATTCTGCAGTTAAGTTCTATGAGGCATGTGTTAATTCAAGCAAGATACAGGGAACACCATATGAACAGGGTATGATGTTAATGCATTATGGGACAGCTCTTCAAAATATAAAAGGTAAGTTTTCTAAATATTATAATAGATGTTTTCATATCATCATCATCATCATCTTATTCTTATCTTTATTTATTATTATTCTTTTCCTTCTTCGTTTTCTTCTTCATTGTCACTAAACTTCTATTTTTTAATAATTAGACAGGGTTATTTAAATTTATTCTATTTTTTAATAATTAGACAGGGTTATTTAAATTTATTGAATAGGCCATTATATTTTTTAACCATTTTATAGTCCGCTTGTGACTTACCTAACTTTGTAATGCATAAGATCCTAACCTAAACTTATAGTAGATCAAAGCAGAATGGCCGTGGTCCTCATGATCTTTGTCTATTATTTCATTATCAATTAAATTTATTCCTTGAGTGCCCAAGGGGTGAGTTCCAAACTGATAAATTTCTACCCCCTTTTTGTAGTGTTGTGAGGCAATGTTGTTTCATTGTAGGGTGTCTTATACCAGCTCAATTGCAGTTTCGGAAAGCAAAGTCTCAACTGAAACAACTTGGAGTTAGTGAGGCATTGGCAAGGCTATACACGTGCATTGGGTGGAACTTACATATGCAGGCTAAAGAAAGAGATGCAATTAAGTATGTACTTTTGAATATTTGAATACAGTCATGGGCGTAGACTGGAAGTGTGTACGTACCCCCAGCCCCGGATGGAAATGAGTTTCCATATAGCTACAGTATATAAAAACAATCAACAAAGGTGCATGATGATATTTTTATTCAAAGTCTTGGTAGTTTCAAATGACAAATTCCTTTTTCTCAGAAATCTCGAGAAGGCCTCCAGAATGCAGGACCGACTTCAACTGAAGGTGAACAAGCACGGTGGATCAACCATGGCAAGACTGGAAGTGGTTTATACCTTCATTGGTGAGTTGCACAAATATCCTTGTGGACAAGATGCATTTTGTCTTACCTATTTTTTGCGCCCATTGACTTATGTTTAATTCTATTCAGTTTTTTATTCAATTATTATTTATTATCAAATAAATTAAACACACTTTTAATATGGATTAAAAAATGAAAAGCCTTCATGAAACATTGAGGAGCTTGTAAAATGAAGGCCTGGATATAGTAAAATTTATTTAACCTAAGAAAAGTCAATCAATTGTGTGTGTTATGCTACGTTTAAAAAGGTTGTAAACAGGAAAAAAATATTTTCCAGAAACCTGTTCGTTATGATTTTTTTACCCTAGCTAAGCTGGATATTAAGGTGCCCTATCTATTGGTTTTTTTTTTTATTTTGACAAATAAAAGTCATAACTAAATATGGAAAATAGCCTCAAATCCTGAAAAACTACATACTGTATGGTAAGACAATGCAATGTTAATGGATATTCGGTGTCAGCTAACTGTCTAAAATGTGATGTATACAACTCTAGGGACTATATCAAAAATTGACATATCTTATCTCTGGAAGCTTAGCCAAAACAGTAGTAGGTAATTGGATTATAATCATAGCTCCTTCTGTAATTTATTACCCATGCAAGGTCAGATATACTATACCATACCATATGTATGCCTTGACAACTTGCTGGAAAACTAATTACCAATTCAACTCTCTCTTTTGATATTGAGTTTGATTAATTGACAGTTAAGGTCAGTGCAAAGTGTGGTTCCTCATGAAACGGGTATTGTGGTAAAGGGAATGGTAAGAGCATGGCACTTTCTATATTTATTTTTATTTTCTGTATTGGAAAATATTTATCAAAATGTTCAATTTAACAAGAAAATAAAATTAATTCAGTGATGTGTAATCTCATGAATGGAAATAAACTGCTTGAAATAGGCATCATACAGTAGTACCAAGTTGCCAGTACTGCAAGTTGCCTAGTAACAATGAATCTGTGAGAAACGTTCTCACAAGTAGGTTCCTACGATATTAGACACACCCTGCATACTGATCACTACTGATGCTGCTGAGAAATAGCCGAGAATTGTTATTATAGCCGACAGGCTTACAAATATCCCCATGGTAAAAACATGTCTTTGGCTTTAGTGATAATTGAGCTATTATTTTAGCAAAGCGTTGCTTTCTTTTGTGAATATGATTCGATTGCGTGTCATTTCTTTCGATCAGTTGGACATCTGGCCTTGTCTCGCTCTCGTGTTTAGTGTCTCGCGCATGCAATAGGCCTACTACCAAAGGGGAAATTTCCACTTGGGTGATTCTGCACGACGAATGGGCCATTTCTGGCCATCCGGTGTAAACAACGTAACCATGAGGATGTTTAGTTTAGGCCTACTTCTACTGTTATTTTCTCGATGAATTGGGATTTTACAGTTAATAAATCCTGGGTTTTAGAGTGAGACCGGTGCTATTTCGTGTTTTATTTATGTTTCTGATGTTTACAAAATCATTCACATGGTGCCAGTCGGCAGCTTGTCACTGTCGTCGGCAGTGCAGTTTCGGTCGGTGATAGGCTGATCTTTCAGTAGATGGAAATTTCTTTTGTAGATAATTCTCAAAAAAACTGCCAAAAAAAAAATAATGTGAGAATTTAACACTGTGTAAATATCAATTACAAAATTCATTTTTATTCACTGCCTGTTAAACTTACGCCAGGCAATCATTGCGCACGACGGTCGTCGGCCGACGCGCGATTCAATGAAGAATGCACAACGGATCGTTTTTAATGACGATCCGTTCAGACTGGTATCGGCAAACGGCGTTGCGTCGTCTATCGCTCGTAGGGAGCGGAGTTGGACTGGTTGTACGACCGTCGTACGAATCAGTGAGTGCCCAGGTTAAGTTATAAAATAAGAGCTGCAGATGGTATGTCAGTGTGGCTTTGCTCAGACGAGTGTGTTTATTTTGATCCGAATTATGAAACGGGACTAGAACATCCTTGGTTCTATGGGACAGCTGTGGTTACATTTTCCGAAGAGGGGTCCTCTGTGTCCGAAGTGGGGGGTGGGGAAGAGTCTTAACCAAGGGGCTTTGTAGTTAAGATTATGAAGATGACTAGAACCTCTGATAGTGTTAATATTTTTATTTGACTTCGCATTGTATGTCTTAAATTAGACCTGGCACCCCTACTGCTCGAGGATGTGGAACTTTGTGGGGTGCCAAACAGCCGCTATTGTGATCATTTTTTCCCCTTTTTGATACCGACGACCTCGTCATGGCGTTGGATGCCAGTGGAATCCCCGCTGGTGCCACCACTGTTTGGGGGTGCAGAATGGCATTATAACTGGAACCCCTCCTCAGAATGAAAACTTTAAAGAAATTGAAATGTATTAAAACAATACAAATATTAATGATAGCATGTTAATAGGAACTGTGGTCCCCATCAGGGTCTGGTTTAAAATAACATAAATTTAACAATATCAACATTGCTTAATATTTTGAAAATATAAGGCAAAATAATAAAACTACGTTAGGTAACAAAGTATCAATTTATGTAAAGTAGCATTGACAAAAAAAAAGGCAAATTCCTGGGCTGGCAACTTCCTAAGGGCTCTAAAATAAAAAGAAAAATTGTAAAATACAAAAATAAAAGAACAATAATACACAAGTGCACATGACAATATAACCTTACCTAATATAAGATTAAAAACCTAAAGAGAAAAAAAATGAAAAGCAAGCAAACTAGCGACAAATTTTAAGGGTCGGGGTAGCGGGGTGGTATTAACAAGACAACGGATCTTGTTAACATGTTCAAAAACAGACGCAGAAATACAAAATGTATTTGAATGACAAATGAAGGAGGCCTATTACGTATATTACTGTATTGCTGGATGCACTATTACAACAATAAATCTTTATGGGAATCACTTTCTATTATTATAAAATTTATCTTGGTTGTGTTTTTAAGGGGAATTAGACAAAGCTGAACCATGTCATAAGTCCAGTCTGTGTATCCGTAAACAGCTTTTTGGTGAGCATCCGGTGATTGCAGAAACTTACAACAATTATGGGCTGTATTACTTGCAGGTTGGAGGCTGTGAATCTCAAGCTTCCAAGTATTTTAGGTGAGAAAACTCATTCATGGGTGCAGGGTCTACAAATGTGTCGACAGAGGGTGCAGCATGTCCGAGAAAGGTGGAGGGGACTAAACTAAGGGGCAGTGCTAGAGCCTGGGCCATATATCACAGAATAAAAAATCTCAGGTAGGGTATGGAGGGAGTTATTATCGCTTCGAATGATTCTAGTAAGCCACAGTCAATTAAAATAATGTTCATTTGATTTTACAGAATGTCTCTACGTACAAAACAACATTTTAACAAGGAACCATCACGTGATAAGGTCATCTCATTAAACAACGTAGCCATGGAGTATGCAAAGAGTGGCGACCATGACCAGGCACTAGAAATGCTTGATGAGGCCTACACGATGCAATACAAACTTGGTCTGCATCATCACGATACATCCCTTATACACAACAACAGAGGGAAAGTGTATGCAATGATGGAGGATTATGAAAACTCAGAGAATAGTTTCACTATAGCATTAGATCTTCGGAAAAAAATACTTGGTGAGGTGCACACATCTACAGCCGGTACGCTACATCAGTTAGGAGAAACACTATTGAAGGCAGGGAAGATTCTGCAAGCTTCAGACAGGTTTAAGGAAGCTTATGTTGTCAGAAAGAAAGTCTTAGCACAGCAACCCCAAAATAGAGGTGTTGTTGAATCCTTGGAAAATCTTTGGCTGGCTTATGAGAAATCCGGACAGAAAGAAAACGCAAAGAAAACCCAAGAATTGTTAAATCAAGAGTTAGGTCGATTATCGACATTCAAAAAATGAGTATTATTCCTTATTGCAAATAAGAAGACAGTTTATGGTTAATTTCCATATATAATAAATATTAAAACGGTGTCAGTTTTTTTTTTCGTATTTACATTCATTATAATTAACTGCAAGTCAGTTTAAGTGTTTCATCATCGTTTCCGTTTAACGGCCCTTTTTCCACTTCCTTTTGAAAAGTATTTTGTTAATTAATTAGTAAAACTAAGATACATAAAATATTTTCTGTAGTGCTTTATTTTCTAAGTAATATTATTATTATTTTGATAACAGTGTGTAAGTTGTTTGTATTAATTATGAAATACAGTATGTGATAATGCTAAGGCTTCTTTACCATCATATTGAAGTACTATCGTAACGTCGAGTGTGGCTTTTGTCATCTAAATCCAACAAAATCTAAAATACAATTTCGTTGTGTCGTTATTCACTGATTTTTTAAGTCCACCACGATTTAGGGGACACCCCAATTAAGGGGATAATTTTTGTTCCGAAAGGTGTCCCCTTAATAATAGTTATATTTTATATGTAACCATAATTTACATATACACTAATAATAATAATTAATAAGGCGTCATAATCTCAATATTCATCAGTATGCCAATGACACTCAAATATATATACTTTCTGTCGCTCCGATTTTTTTGCTGTTATAAACTCAGTACGGATGTTGTAATTTTTCAGTCAAAATTTTATTGTTCATCATTAATAGTTGAGGGTGTAAACATAGGTTCCTGTCTCATTCAGCCTGTAACATCAGCCAGGAATCTTGGTGTACTTTTTGGTACTTCACTTATTCACCAACAACATGTCACGAATAGGCTTAGTCTCATTCAGTTTTCCTTTTCCTTCGAAACATTGGTGAAATCAGGAAGCATTTATCACAGCCTAGGCCATCATGTGAAATACTTGTTCCAATGCCCTGCTGCATGGACTACCTGATACATTGATTTTACGTCATCAAAAAGCACAAACTGCAGCTGCCAGAATCATTGTTAAGGAGAGGAAGTCTGATCACATCACTGTTTTAAAAGATCTCCGCTGGCTTCCAGTTTACTACAGCATTGAATTCAAAATCTGTTGTTAACTTGTAAAGCTCTCAATGATCATAAAGCAAAAAATGGTCAAAGATTGACCTTCATAAGTTGAAATCTACAATGGACCTTTCCGCTAAGCTCCACCCCTTGGATTTTGTTGCTAAGGCCCCACAAGACGGCAGTGTTAAAACATACGCGAACACGTGCGTTTGTGGGACAACACGTGTGTTTGTAAGACGCGTGCGTATTCCTAGTGTTGTTCTGATTAGTCAGTTGTGAAGTTTGATTGACACTCCGGAAATGTCTATTGACATTTAAGCACGGCCGTACCCTCGACAGAGGTGCGTTTGTATATGTTTAAATGTTTTTATTAATCTTTGGCGTTTTTTTATTGAACAAACGTGGTGGTATTTAAATAAATAAATAAATATGGTATAATCAATGTAAACTCTGTGTTAATAGCCTCCCTACCCGATATTGTTTAATAAACCAATGCCCAGTGGAATAAAAAAGGTGGGATGCACCCACGAAAGAGAAAAACAAATATTTGGGGAAAAAAATGTAGGTAAATGATACTGAGAACACATTATGTTAAAGTCACATTATTTTATATTTTCACAACCAGTGGCGTAAACTACCCCAGGTGCAGCAGGTTCACCGACCTGACCTCCACGAGCCCCGACCTATAAGGGCCCCGCCTACTTATATTTATAAAATCTGATGAGCAATGAATAAATAAAAGTCTGGATTTATAGCTTTTATATTCATGCAATGTAATACAGCACATTATAATGTAATATTGTAAAAAATAATTATACGTGCCTAGGCCTCTATGCAGTGGTTGCTCTAGGATATATTAGTGAGCTTTCGCATGAGTCACGAACTGTTTTTGCCCAATTTATCGACCGTGGAGGATCACGGACGACTAATTTTTTTGTATATTGTATGGACCTTGCTAGGTGTGTGCCACTGATAAAAGTGAGTTCAATAAATACTGAAATACTGAAATTACTGACTAGATCCAGCAGCCAATCAGCACCCTTTAGAGATACAAAGCAGCCAAAAAGCACGCACTCTTTAGGATACCTAAAAGAGAGGGCGTGTGTTAGCTTAACGACGGCACGCACTACCGTTCGTTCTTGAAATGACCAGACCGCAGACGAGTATCAAGGACAGTCAGAGTTCATTGATTTTAGTCCTAGAGGAGGTCCGTGCTGTATTTGCGAAAGCTCGCTATTTTCTGGGGTAGGGGGATGAGCTGTCCGGCAGGGAGACTTGGGCTCGTAGGACCGAGCTGGAGGAAGGGTTGAGCACGTGTTCACCCTCCCAAATGAGATTTTTTTAAGAATAAGAGAGAAGGCCGGGGATAATTTGACCATGGGTGTCGATCGGTGGGGGAGTGGGGGGCACGTCCCTATATTTCAAAGGGGAATCATATCAATTATCCTCCCCCTCCCACTTTTCACCAATCTTTTATAATTAAAAACCCACTTTTCAAAGCGAATGGAAAGAATAACAATTACGCATGACTGTCGTGAATTTTGTCTGTTCATTTTTCAAAGTGCGGTATGTATTTCCGAACCAAAACTGAGTAAAAAAGCAATGGTATCTACATTTCGTAGCCATCTCATTAATCACTACATCGATTTTATGTATGCCACGGAAAAGGCTATCAGAGGCTAAATTTATTGTGAAAACAATGTACTTTAAGTTGTTAAAATTATTAGGCCAATATTTTTACAAACTCAAAAGTGCACAATTTCTACTATAAACGATTTATTCCGTTTGTATATTATTATGAACAGTGTTTAATATTATCTGCATACATAGGTTCCTGTTTTACCTAATTTCAAGAGAAAAAAATTTCATATTTTATATAGCCGTTATTAAACAATAATTATACAGCCTTTTCCACAATTATGACTACCAGGATAATTTTAAAAGCTTTATGAGGAGTATTTCAGTAGCAGATTCAAGCGGCCCCAGTGTAGTAGGTGCCCTACCAAGGCAAAGGGAAGTATGGGACAATTTAAAAAAAATTAGTTATTGGTTGTACGTGATTCCGGGGACCATTCTGCACATTTCAAACAAAAAATATATTTTAGAAACCATATATTTATTGAGATATTAATATCATAAATAGGAAGTATGTCCACTTTTTGACAATAAAGCCACAGCAAAAGGAAGCATGGGACAAGCTGTGGCATTGTGTGTATGACTAGCCAATCAGAATGCAGTATTCTGACTGTGTGAAGGGAATATCTTTTTTTAAGTCATTGATTTAGCCACAGCTAAATGAATCAGTAAAGTATCATACAGTTTTTAGATTCATCATTCCAAATTTTCCTGCCTTTTTAATTTATAAAGTTAACGTGATATATGACAGTTTTTTCCTTGTAACTTCAGGATATTTCATGGTTATTTTTCTTTTTGTTCATATGAAGTACATAAAGGCAATTGTATTGTATTTATTGTGCGATATATAGGCGTATTGATTAACACAGGTTAAGGATTAGGTATTCATTGACTTTTCAAGAATATACAAATAAAAATTACAAATATTTTGTGCGCTAATACATTCCTTTTCGAAAGTAGATGAAGAACGCAGACGCGTTCGAAATATTTCTAGAATTGTTTTCTGAGAATCAGCGATTCAATCATGCAATTCATTTCATCAGACCAAAGATACTAGAAATACAAGATAGAGTTCTCGCATTGTAAAAATGAGGCGGAAGTCGTGCCCAACGTAGGCGGCGCCCTTCTTTTTAACCATGCAAGTTTTCTATACTTCGTGCCCAACGTACAGGGCGCTCTTCTGTTGCTAAGTTTATCCAGACGCAAAAGGCGCCCTTCCTTTTCCACTACTGGAGGAAAACTTTTTCACTAAGAGTGCGTCCGGCCATACGATTCTGCGCTGTATTGTTGTTTTATTCTTTACTGATTCATGACTATGCTTTAATTGATTTGTGTTTTATTTGGATAATAGCAACGATTTCTACCGCCACCAAGGAGGTTATGTATTCACCGATGTCACTGTCTGGGTGTCTATTCTAGTTTGTTTTTATATCTAGTAAAAAATAATTGAGAATTGATAATAAAATACGCGACGACTTGGTAACGAAAGTTTGGCACAAGTTTTTTTAGATCCAGCTGTAGGGGGCGTCCCATTTTTCGTATTCCCACCATGCATTTCGATGGAACACGGTGGAACACTTTTTTTGTGTGGAGAACTCTATCTTGTATTTCTAGTATCTTTGATCAGACAGGAATACACTGCTTCATATTTTACCATTAGTTTACGCCATCAAAGTTATCTTAATTTGTTACCAGGTGTTACTCGCTTCAACTAAATTTTATTTCCTGAAAATGCTTATTTAGACCTAATTCTAACTCGCCTTGAATACAATGTCCCAGCAAGATGCATATTAAAAGAAAGAAAATAACAAAATTATTTATTCCAATGTAAATGTGTTCTTTGAAAACCTATGATGAATGTTTAGTGTCTCTGAAAGCTAATTTTGAATAAATCTTGAATAAATCAACACGAGGGTGTGTATAAGCTTGTATTAATTTATATATTGGAAAATAACAATGAAAGAGGCAAGCCCTACAAACACTTTACACCGGTAGCTTACAATCTAACAGTTAATTATTTTTAGTTCCAATCACTCAAAATATTATTTAATATTTAGGTATTAGTTTAATCAGGGATGCAATATCATTTATGCATTTTGAAGTTTTGAAATTTTATTCTGTTAGGTTATCTTTATATAAGGTAGCATAGTTTTATCTATATTTATTTATATTTCTTGATTTAAAGAAACATATATTTTAGTTGAGTAATAGTTTATGTAGAGAATGCTTTTATCATTAATTTACAATTTATATGGCAATATGTGAGCACTATATTTAGTATAAATATGTATTTGCTTCCTTTTGATATGGTGTTTTTCAAACATGTTAGGTATGCAATACCACGGCAGAGGGAAGTATGGGACATT